TTTCTTATTTCACCATAGAAATTTTAAATTGCTAAAGTGTAGCATCACAAGTTTCTATGTCAAGTCTACGGAATTATAAATTTAGCTGTAAATGATGTACAAGGTATGTAGGGCAGTGTGGCAACCAGGTACTAAGGCAGGAAGTTACTCTTGAAACAAATTTTCAGACTTCTGGGTTCCTATCAGATAATGGCAGCAAACTAAATTTGAACTTTCAAAATATTCTCTACAAGTAATGTAGATCAACAAGGAGAGAAATTAAAACAACTTCTGTCTATAGCATAACTAAAAGAGAAAACTATAAGCTTCAATTTCTGCATGAGTAGTGAAATAAACATGGAAGCCAGAGGAGCCAGCTTGGGAGCCCCCACTAGAATGATGACTGGAGAAAATTCTAGCTAGGAGTCTAGTAGGTCTATTTTCCCTAGGAAATAATCAAAGCTTTAGGAAGGAGCTATGTTCCAGAACAAGCTCCCTGTGAAAAGTACAAATGCCAGGGTCCTCCCAAGACCTATGGAATCATAATCTCCAGAAGTGATAGCCAGGAATCCACATTTCAAAACTCCAAAAGTGATTCTGAAATACTCTAGAGACGAGGACCAGTGTGCCACTGGGTTAAGTTTAACATTTATAAATTCATCTTTCCTAACTTCACAAACACACAAATTCTTTTCTTGCCAGGGTAATCTCCTTGTTCTCCAACCTTGCTTTCCCTCTAAGGAGAAAGTGAATTTATGTCTTCATACATCTACTCTCAACTTCCCCAATATGAAATACAGTGCGTGCTCCTTACTGCCTATTTAAATTCTCCCCCCTTCCAAAATTGGGTTCAAGTTTTACCTTCCTTCTAACTCACATACATTCCACCTCCATTAATAAACTACAGAGTATGTGCTTTCCCTTCTGTCTTATATCATTATGGATACAATAATTTATGTTTGTCTTACATTTCACTGAGATCATAAACCATATGAATCCTCAGGAAGTCTTCAAATGTTTTTTTTTTTAATTTTATTTATTTATTTGACAGACAGAGATCACAAGCAGGCAGAGAGGCAGGCAGAGAGAGAGGGGAGGAAGCAGGCTCCCCGCTGAGCAGAGAGCCTGATGTACGGCTTGATCCCAGGACGCTGAGATCATGACCTGAGCCGAAGGCAGAGGCTTTAAACCAAGCCACCCAGGTGCCCCTTCATATGTTTTCATTAGGACCTCTTTTCTATATACATCTGGGACTTTCCAAAGACAGCAGAATGAATGAAAGTAGCACCTGTGTATTCATCATCAAATGACATAGGGGATACATATTTACTTCAAAAACTGCTCAGAATCCATGCATTGCACTCTGTGAGCTTACATTCTAAAGAAAATACATATGCATAAGTGAAAAAAAAAGGATAAGAAGGGTTTGTTTCTCTAGCATTAAACCTTCTTCTGAGTTCCTGAGTCATCTATCCAAACACCTACATCATTTCTTTACTTGGACCAGAATTACAAAGTCAACATGCCCCATATTAATTCATAATTATCTCTGCCCCCAAATCTGCTCTTTCCTCCATATCCTCCATAGCTCCCAACTCCACGGAGTTCATGATATTGCTATTCATCCAGTTCCTAAGAGCAAACACCAAGAACGCATCACTTCTGAGATATCTCTTTTCAATGTCGACCACATCAAGACCCTCAGCAATTGTTTTCAAATTACATTCAAATTATTCAGAATTGAACTATTTCCCTTCCCCTCTGCTCCCATTGCCCATCACATACTGGGCTCCTAGAGTAACTCCTGACTGGTGTTCTAGTTTGCCTTTGACCCTTTTAGCCTATTTTCCAAAGAGTAGCCAAAGATTTTTTTAATTTTTAAACTAGAGCACATATCATTTTTTAAAGATTTATTTTTATTTATTTTAGAGAGAGAGAGAGAGAGAGAGAGCACAAGCAGAAGGGCAGAGAATCTCAAGCAAACTCTGCACCAAGCATGGAGCCTGACATGGGGCTCGATCCCATGACCCTGAGATCACAACCTGTTCCGAAACTGAGAGTCACCAGGAGTACAAAACCTTTCTAAAGCCTACTAACAGCTTCCTGTTGGTCTTTACCATAGCCTGTGTGATCTGATCCATACCTAGCTATGTGATCATTCATGCTTTATTTCACTTGAGCCACACGTTTCTTCTTTTCTTCCTGGAATATTTCAAGTTGTTCTTACACTCTATAGTATCTATTACCTCTGCCCCAAATCCTCTTCCTCCTGATCACCACATTCTTAGCTCCTTCTCATTATTTTAATCATTGCTCAAATGTCCCTTGCTTAGCAAGACCTTCACCACCTGCCCTATTTCAAAGGGCACTCTCTCCATCATCTATTTTTACCCCCGTATGCTGTCTTGTTTTCTGCCTAGATCATATCATTATTTAAGATGATATATTTTTGCTTACTTAATTATTGGTTTTTCTCTCCTTTCATTATAAAGTAAGCTTCCTAGGGGACTTTGGTTAATTTATCACTATAGCCCTAGTAATTAGAACAATGTATGAAACATTATAGGTGGCTGATAGATACTAGATGACTGAATGAATATATGCATGAATAAAGTGTTTCAAATCTAATCCCAGTCATATCATCTTTAAATAGAAAATTTTTATTCTGCATGGTGTAGTGGCTGCTCTGGATTGTCCCAGACGCCTCTGTTCTTTCCATCTGACTGCATAAGCCAATCTGGGTACCCACCTACATGCTACAGCTCAGGTCTTAGAATACAGTTCTTGGGAAAAGTGAAGTGAAATCAGATAGTTAACTAAAACTAATGTCTCCTTTGAGTCTATAAAGGGAGGTGTTTTCCCAGCCCAACCGGTCCTCATGTCTTAGACTGGTGCGGAATGCTGAAGTGGCGATCTTGAACTTGAAGGACTCCCAATCTGGAGGGGGAGTGGGGGTACTCTTTTTTGTACTCTCTGTTTTGTGAAACCACCAAGTATGACTCATCTTTGGGTCCACAATGTTCAGAACATTGCTGAGCAGATACTAGAGCTTCAATAAATGTTTATTAAACAAATGAACAGACTGATCTATGAAACACACAATAACAATTTTAAGTGCTAGTCTTCTGTCTTAAGCTTTGTGACAGTATTAATGAATCTCAGCGTCTCAATTAGATGGCTACTTTATAAAACTCATTCTTGCAGCTTTTTCCCCGCCTTCATAGGTTAAGCTGAAAAACTCCTTATGAAGGACCATGTCTTATCCTTGGTTCTTAGCAGTATGTCTGGCTGCAAAAGGAGAAAAACTCCAAAGCAAAGGATAGAGAAGTTAGAAGTCCTGGCAGGAATCAGTGAGTATTAAAGAATGCCAGTCTGACATGATTATCAGATGTTAGGTGATGAAAATCATGCCAACTAACATATGTATTCCTACCCCGTTTCTATGGAAGATCTGAGCTCTAAAATTATTTCCTGAACACAGGGGATCAGAGCTGATGCTGATTATTTACTATGAGACTGCTACTTTCCAGAATATTGCTGATCAAAGTGCTAGACACTCAATGCATGAAAGTCTACACCTCTTTACTCAACTCTCCTATAGTGAGGTAAAATGCTTCAGCAAAAGAATGTTATTAAAAAATAGTTCCCAACAGCAGGTTGTTCACTAAACATAAAAGCCTTTTCAAATACAAGATGAAACAGATAATACAACTATTACATCAATAGGCCTCAGGGTAACTGACTGCCTTGGTTTACCAGAGAATAAGACTCCTAGAATGTGGGACTTTCAGTGTTAAAATAGGGAAAGTTCTAGGTTAGTCAACATGACCTGGCCACCTAATCCTGACATAACATGTTAATTTAATTTTCACGTGTTCATATATATCTACATATAGGATTTATACATGTATGTAGACTATCACAGACACTGGACATTATCTGGCCACAAACATGAGAAGATTAAGGAGGAGTCTGCCTGTGTTGTTCCAGTGTACTATATGAAGCACAAATCCCTTTTTTTATTTTCTGTCCATGCCCCCCCACCCATGTTGGACCACTTTCTTATATTTTAAAATTCTATGCTCATATTGATTTTATTAAAGTCAAAGGATATTAATTTGGGGTGTTAGGATAATTTCCTTTTCTCCAGAAGAAAGGGAAAAGTGAGAGCAGCAATGGAGATCGGTCTCCATTGACGCATGGACTCATCTGTTTTTTACAACCCCAAATGTGGTAATTTATGACAGTGATGTCACTGCAGGGAATTAAAATTTTCCTAACCCAGAATGTGTGTTTTCTACATATTCCAGAACTGAACACATGCAGATTAAGTTCTAAAATCCACAGTGAGACCTATCAAAAGCATTCTAGCCTGAATTCTGCTGAGGTTTTACTATAAGACAAACTGGGACAGCCCCTCATTGTTTCCTCCACATCCCAGTGGCCCCCTCACAAGCATCATCTGGTCTTAGCGAGGTCCAAAATAGTAGCCAGTCTTTGGGCAAGGAATAGTCTTCAGAATCTGGATTACAGTTTGAAAAATATTGTATTTTGCAGTGTTTACAGTGCCAGGCTTTAAACATTGAAGGGCAATATCTTTCTAAGTATCTCTGGTCAGTCTTAGCAACTAGACCTACTTTTGAGGCTCCATTTCTTTTATGTCTTTTAAATTTAATGATAAAGAGGAAAGATCTAAATTTATAATACACATGAAACAGTGAAATTAGGAAAAAAAATTCTATTTGATGTGAGTCTGTTTTTTTTAAGCTCCCATGACTAAAAAGATCAACAGTTACCTACATTTGTAATATTTATGCCTCCCAGACTCAGTGTAATGAGTTTCATCTCTGATCGAATTTTTATAACTGACTTTCATTTACCTGTGAAACAGAAAGCTTTGGTAGGCTCTTGCCCTAAAGAATCAGATGCAAAAGTTAGTTCTATTGCAAGGAACAGCAGGGAGAAAAAAAAAAAATCACCCTAATATGCTGCTCCTGTATTCATTCCTCTGCTTTTTGCAGGAAAAGCAAGCCATGGCTCTAGATAACAATACTGACATAAGTGAAGTACAGAGGACTGAGGAAGCAAAACCTGAGAAACAGAGTCTTCTGTTCTCTTCCATGAAACTGTGGTGTGTTCTCTTCACTTTGGCCAAGTGCCCAGCTAAGAGAATTCTCCCTCAAGATGAGCATGTTTCAGAGCGAACCCTTAACTGTTGGTTTCAAAAAGCCCAAACTTACATTCTGTTTGGAGCTTTGGTGAAGTAGGTAAGCCAAAACAGAGGAGCACGACTTCCTCCATTAAACTGGCTGGAACCCAGGTTATACTAATTCAGCCTAAATAGAAAACCTCTGCTTTTCAATCCCTTTGTTCTCTTGGATGTCACAGCTCCCTGCTCTATTCGCTTCCTTTTATAGTCTTTCCTCACCAAGCATTTCAGGAAAAAAAAAAAAAAAAAAAGCTAAATAAAGATCACAGCCTGTTCCATTGTGTCCCCTTCTTCTTCATCATCTTCTTTTCCATTTGTGCAATGTTGTGGCACCTATTAACTACCAATGTTTTCAGAATGACATTATACAAGGTGCAGGCTGTACCACTGTGCCCTAAAAATATCAACAACTGCATTAGTCTCACAATAATTAATGGCAGGCATTATGCAAATGACAACTTTTTCGCTGCAAAATAATGACATTTCTTCATTTTGAGCGGAGTTATGCAAAACAATGAATTTAGGATGATAAATCACACAGGAGAATTAAGAAAGCCATAACGTTCCTGCCCAGGCAGGCAGAAAGATAGACAGACCAACAATTTAGAAGACATTGTTTGTTCTCACACCACTATAAAAAATCATAGCCAGTCGGCCATTAATGTGTGTGGGTTTTTTTTTTTTTTTCCCTTCTCCCCTTTAGGCAACAATGCATAAGGGGATGCTAAATTCTAGCAATTGGATCATTACAAGTCACAAGCAAATTTTTCTTTATTAACCTTAATAAGTCATTCACTCAGAGACTATAGTCATCAGGCAAATAAAAAGTATCACATGCCATTCTGCTACACATTAACTAATTCCTTATGCAAACATCACAACATATAGCAATTACTGCCGCTCAAAAAAACAAAGTCATTTTCAATTTATTTTATTGCTTTTATACTTGGCCATTTCCTGTAGCACATTATCGTTTCTTTCCATAACAACCCGAGGTGGAATGGAGAAGAATTTCAGCAGCAATGAGCACTTCCTCTAGCCACCTTTGTCATACCTTTTCCCCTTCAGAAGCTGCCAAAACAGGTTGGGAATATCATGTGTTCCTTCCCAGCAAATCTCCACTGCTCTAATGGGAATGGCACTTTCAGCCCCCCTCCCTGTGACAAAGCAGTTAAGGAGTCAGCAGAATGGGTCCTCTAACTATCACCCACATTTGCTACCATAATGCTGACCGCTTTCCATGATTCTGTAGAACAAGGTTAAGTGCAGGTTTAGATCTGCCACTAACAGGTGAATATTAAAGTCAATATATTCAGTGTTAACCTGAGAGATGCCTATTATGGTTAATGAGAATTATGGGGCTAGTTCGTCATGCTCCACTCGGCACATAACATGTCCCTTCAAGAGTTCTAAGTGAAGAGCAATAATAAATATGAAACTCCACCCTCCAATGTCAAATAGGCCCTCTTTGTTTTTTCTGTTTTATTCCACAACATTATTTATCCAAGCTCTCAGGATGTGAAACAAACTCTAAGTAAACCTTACACATGGCCAATAGATTTTTTTTAAGCCCATTTTACAGATTGACAAGTGGCTTCCAAGCAACCAGGGGCTTTTCACGAAGTTGGACAATGAAACAGATCAGATCCGACTAACTCTCCAATGTTCTAACCTCTAAGGCCATAGCCTCTTTCCCATAATCATGAGCACTCCTTCCTGCTAGTAAACAATTATGCTGTAAACAGCCTGTACATGTCCCTGTTCACACAATAGGATCATCATCTCCCTCTGTTCTCCTAAATCTACAATCCATTCCCCCCTTTTAAAGGTAGAACATTTCCAAAATACACAAGGGAAAAGCTCCCTTTTCCGTTTCTCTTCCTGAAGGTAATAACATTTTGCAGTTCTCCTTAAATAAAATCCAGCCCATGCTGGATCAATAAGAATGATGCCCATTTCCCTAATGGCAGCCGATTGCCATTTGCTATTCAAATCAGACTAGATAAATTACAGTACATGCCAGGGAACAGGCCAGTGAATTAAGACAGGCCTCCAGAGGACCAGCGATATTATTAATCTTTTAAGACACTATCATATTTCTTCTTGACAGTGTGCGTAGACTCACAGACACACTGCACCCAGATTGAAATATCAGCTGCTGAAAAAATCAATAGTGTTAGAAACACAATAATTTTTGGTCTGCAGGGTCTATACTAAGCAACACTTTTACCCCTCCATGCCATCTCTTCTCCTACTTCCAATTTCCGATTTTCTCCTCCTACTTTCTTGCTCTTCCCTTCCCATTCTTTGGTTTTAAAAGCTGGTAAGGCCAAATGACAAGATACTACAAGGGGGTTTCCAACACGAACACTGGTGATTGTGGTGACAGCGTTGATTTTCCATGGGCTATTTGAAACACAGTATCACTAGACTAGTAAAAGGTTTTTGATGTGGGACTGTTACTCCTATGCACTTAATACAGACCCCCAACCCTATGCATCTGGTTCTGTTTTATGGAGAAATGCAGATATTTGGGGGAGGTGGTCAGACTCAGAAATCCTTGGGGAAGCAGGATGGAAAGAAATAAAAATAATGGAAACGGGATCAAAAAAATTTAAAAAAGGGGGGATTCATGGAAAAGGGAGGGGGAAAAGCAAAACAAAACTAAACACTACAGGAGAGGTAGATAGGGAACACTATGGGGTGGGAAAAATCTTTGAATTATATCCTAAAATCTGGCTTTCAATCCTGCCTCTGCTATTTACACACTGTATGATTTTGCCAGCTACTTAATCTTTCAGAGCCTTGGTTTCCTTACCTGTTAAGTAAAACAGTATCACCATCTACCTTGTAGAAGTCTTGTGAGGGTTAATTAACAAGATACGAGTGCTTTCTAAATAATACAGAGCTTTATCAATGGTTAAAAATGATATAAATTTTATTTCTATTAGAGAAGGATTTCTGAAATATGTCTGTTATTTTTTCCTTTCTGGAACTAGAACATCATAAGTGGACTTTAGATGTTATCAATAAATAAGTAGGCTGATACAGAAATGTTATTTTGGGCCATATTATTGGTAGCTAATAGAATTTGACCTAGAACCAAAATCTGTTGGATCTTACCCAATACCTTTTACGTTTTACCAGACTGATTTTGCCTTTTTCTTCTCTTTATACTCCAGATTTGAGGCTTTGATTCTTATTTGTGTTGTTTCTCAACTGGGAAAGTGGATTAAACAAGCACAAAACATAAAACAAGACAAGAAACTTTGCACAAGACAAGAAACTTTGTGTATTCATGCTTTGTGTATCTTTATATGATACTCTCCTGATTCCAAGTGTCTCTCCAGTTACTTTCCATTTGTCTTATTCCTCTCCTGGCAAAATTTATTGAATGTCTATATTAGTGATGACCATATCTTCACTTTCTATTCTTTCCTCAACCTACTCCAGTGAGGTTTTTATCCATTCTACTCTACCATGTCTGCTCTTGCCAAATCCAATATTCACATTTTCATTCTCATTTTACTCAACTTCTCAGCAGCAATTTAACATGGTTAACCACATTCTCCTACTTGAAACACTGTGGCTATCTTCTGGGACACCTCTCTTCCTAGGTTTTGGTACTACGTTATTGGTCACTTAAAACCTAATGTTTAAATTTCTTCAAATTTGAAATCTATTACTTACAATTCTATCTCAAGTGGCTTCTGATTTGGGATAAACACAGCATATTTGGTAAAACAACAAACTCTTAGAAAGTACTTGTGAGATATTCAGGTCTGGTTTTATGACTCTGAAATGCAGAATGGAGCAGAAAATCTAGTTTTCATTTTGGCTTCAAGCTCATTTATTCTCATAGCAAAAGTTACTAACAACTGACTTCTGAACTTCCATAAATGATCTTTTAACCAGAAACTTGCCAAGCAGATTTCTACATATGGCCAACTCATAAGAGTATCTTCAATGGTACAGAATTTCAGAGAACTCCATGTTAAATTTGAAGATCCCATATATGCAGCCCCTCACAGTTCTATCAGATTTACTGAATTGCCCCCAGTTTCTCCAACAATTGCTCCTTGAGGTTTTCCTTGCAAAAAGCTGAAAACCCTTCCTAAGTAAACTAAAATAACCTGAATATGGTTTCAATTCTAGGTTGTACCCATGAACCCTAGCAAAACATGAAGATTTCTCATAAGAACACAAGATATGCTCTAGCAATCATCAAATGGAACTTGAGTTTGTCTTTGTGTCAGACAAAGAAACAGCCCTTTCTGACTTATGGATATGGCTGAAGGGGAATACCTGAAAAGAGTGATTTCTCTCCACATCTGTCTTTAAGTCTTGATAACATTGTACCATATAAGGTCACTGACAATGCAAAATATCACAATACAGCACAGAACTAATCAAAGCCTAAAATTATCCAAATAAGCTATTTAGAGAGAATCCCAACAACTTCTTTGGAATGTGATATTACCAAAAATATGAATAAAGGGTATTTTCTTAAGGAAAAAAAAGGGATGTTCTCATTATTTGCATGTAATTTGCCACCTAGGAGTAGACTCTGGCTTCCCTTTCTGCTTAAATTCTTCCACAGAGTCGGCTTGCCAGGTCTATAACCAAGGTCTTTCTTTTATCTAGACTAGAACAAATATTCCATTTTGAGTCATGAAAACATATCAGCAAAATTCCCAGAGTTAATACTTTTATTTAATTATATACATATATTTATTATTTTTTTTAAAAGCTGTTCCACTAAGTTAAACTTTAACCATATTAATCCAGGGGGAAAAATCCCTGATTGCCAACCAACAATTTTGTAAACAGTTATCTCATGAGTTAAATATTAACTTGAAAATTTTAACTCAAAACTCCAAACAAGCAGGAGGAGCCAAAAGGCCAGTAGAAAGGAGTAAAGATTTTACTGCCTCTGCTATATCAGATACCCTTGAAAGAGAGTGACAGAATTAGGCAAGGGAGTATTTTGAGAGCAACTAGATGATGTGTGGAGTTGGGGGTGAGGTATGCGGAAGCATGAAAGGAGTCTGAAAGACACCTACTGCTTATCATCAAAATCTCAAAACTTAGAGCAATGAGGTCAGACCTCATGGAACAGAAAATCCATGGGAATATGAATTCACTGATAATATCCACAGGAATTCAGGGTCAGTAAAGGTATGTGCTTGAAGAATATGGACACTTTTTTTTTTTTTTTTTTTAAACATAGGTAAGCTATCCAATACAAGGCTAGCTGGCTCATATTGCCTGTCTGCCACTAAACCTTATGTGGAACATTCTGGAACCACTCTCTCATTAGAAACCATGGAATTAAGACTGATCTGCCTGTCCTGATTCCATCTGATAATAAATAAAGCTGAAATGTTTCTGTGTAGTCCTAGGTTGTTAGGGACTGTGATTTCAAGTACTAAGCCACCATCACTGTCCATCAATTCATTCCCTGATTAACAGAAATACACTACCTAAGGAAAAATTGAATCTAGGCAGTTGAACCAATGTCTGAATGATGTTATCATAATTATTGTCCTCTGGTTAGATTTTTGACTCAAAAGTTTCAAGAAAATGCACATGGCTAGTAATCTGCATAATCCTGATCTCTGTGCTGTAGGATAGAGTTGATTTTTTTTTCATGCTCTTCCAGGAGTGGTTAGGAACTGTTAGGGATTCTTCTTGTAGGTCTGTTAGGATCAGTCCTGTCGGTTGATTAAAAAAAAAAAAAAAATCATCAAGAAAGACTCTTTCTAAGGGCACCTGGATGGCTCAGTTGGTTCAACATGCGACTCTTGGTTTTGGCTCAAGTCATGACCTCAGGATCCTGAGATCAAGCCCACTTTGGGCTCCCCATTCCCTGCTTAGTGGGGAATCTGCTTCCCCTCTCCCTCTCCCTTTGCCCTTCCCCCACTCATTTTCTCTCTCTAAAGTAAATAAATAAATCTTAAAAAAAAAAAAAAGACTCTTTCTAGTGAAGGTCTTTTAAGGAAGACTCCCATCTGCCCTGTAGATGGGGTGAGGTCAAATAATGTGAGTTGCTCAAGGGAAGAGGGGGATTAGATGAAAAGAGAGGAGATATAAAAATATAGAAAGAATAATCCTTAGATACACATGTGTATCTTATTTAGACACAGGAAATATGGTACAGTGTATCAGACCTGACTACAGATATTTTTAATTATGTATTTAATACATGACTACAGGCTTACTGGAAAATATTCAGATACCAAAGACTATACCTTATGGTTGTAGAGCTTTTTGCAGTTTATGAAATAATGTCATATACTGTCAAATACTGTCATATCTATATACATATACTGTCATCTGTGACAACTCCAAAAAGCAAAAGAGCAGGTTCCATCATCTCTGTTCTATAGATAAGTAAGTTACCCTAGCATTGATGTAGTTGGTACAGAATGAACTAGAAGAACCAGAACCCATTAGCAGCTTATGAGTGAACACGATGAGCGAGGGAATGACTGTGGAATAGAAAGACACTTTAAGTGAGTGATCAGAGAAGGGAAGCAAGGAGGGAGAAGTTTTAAAATATTCAAAACCAGAAAGACCCTAGGAATAAAGGACAAAATTCAGAGTGATTTGTGAGAAAGAACAGGTGGTTAGAGCAAGGAAGGAACTCCAAATTCATACCTCTTATTCATTTGGCATATATTCATTGTATCCTTACTATGTTTGAATTTCTCTGGATGCCTCTGGGCAAACAATGATGTATATTGAGACACCAACCTATGTCTGAGGTACTTAATACCTAATTATTGAGATAATGTCAAAAAATAATTGTAATACAAGGCAATTCAGTATCCACAATAGGGATTTAAAGAGAACTATCTCATATTGAGGCTGACAATGGAAAACTTCACTACAGTGAAAAAAATGCAGATGAACGAAGAAAAATGTGTAAGATTAAGGAAGTGATAAGAAGACTCTGGTTAAGAGAAGGGCCTGAGAAAAGGCATGGAAGCAGAAAAATGAAAGACGTATTTGGGAGCAAGAAGCAAGTTAGTGGGAATTGGAATAGGAAATAATGTTGGAAAGATAAGTTGAGCCTGGAATTTGAAGGGGTTCCTTGAATATCGGACTATCTAATCTTCTTTCTTCTGTGGGCAAAAGAGGTCTATTAGAGGTTTATAAGTAGGGCACTGGCATCATCACAGTGGTATTTTAGTATAAGTAACTGGGAATGGTGAACAGAATAACTTGAAACAGGGAGAGCCCAGGGTAAGGACAGAGAAAGAGAGAGAGAAAACCATTGCAATAATCCAGTCACTGTGAGATAAATATCTGACCTTGGCAGCATCGGTAGAAATAGAAAAGAAATGAAATATTCTAGAGACACTGTAAAGGAAGAAAGGATAATATTTATTAAACCTCTACTATGTATCAGGCACTGGACTGTGTGCTTTATATAGATTTACACAGCATTTGATCTGCAAGTCAACCCTAAAAGACAAGTCACTTTATTGTTTCTCTTTTTTTTTTTAAAGATTTTTTTTTTTTAACTTATTTGACAGATCACAAGTAGGCAGAGAGGCAGGCAGAGAGAGAGAGGAGGAGGAGGAAGGCTCCCTGCTTAGCAGAGAGCCCAATGCAGGACTGGACCCCAGGACCCTGGGATCATGACCTGAGCTGAAGGCAGAGGCTTTAACCACTGAGCCACCCAGGCGCCCGTATTGTTTCTCTTTTAAAGATGAGGATTAAGCAAATTTTTCAAGTTTATACAGTTAATAAAGGATAAAGTCAGGATTTAAACCCAGGTCATCTGACTCCAGAATCTGCCTGCTTTACCTTGATGCTTAAGGGCCTTGATGGTGGATCATATATGACAAATTTTGATTGATATATATATAATATATAATATCTCAGTCATAAGACCTTAAAATTCTTGGGAATTTTGATTCTGAGATTTTGGGGTAATGGGTAGAATGGTGATACTATGAATAAAAACAGGAAAATACAGAAGACCTTCTGGACTTCGTATTTTACATTTATTCTTAATGGTCCAATTGCTCTTTGGATTTAAAATGTCAATTTACAATAAAAGTCCCAAAAGCAACTGAACCACCAAACTTAAAAGTCTCTGAAGACAGATACTAGCTGATTTTTCCTTCCAAGTTTCACTGACATATATGTGGAGTATAACACAGCACTTGGCATGTAGGGGGTGCTTGGCAATGTGTTGAATGAATTAACTGGAGGGGTTTTAACCATAAATCAGTGAGAATAAAGGGAGGAAAGAGAATAGAGTCAAAAAAGCATGACTCAGAGTTAAACAAATCTTGGTTCAAATCCTGGCTCAGCCACTCTCTAAGTAAAGGACCTAGGGCAAGTTACTTTAAACCTTTTCTATAGGACAGGGTAATAATTCACAGAGAAGCCAGGTACTTTTCTGGATTCAGTACTTCTATGTAAGGCAGTGGGTCCATGCAAACCTAGAAAGAATGCTTGCAAAGGTCATTATCTCTGACAGAAGAAAATCTGAACCCTTTTCTTTCGAGTTTAATTTACAAATCTATGTTGAGACTTACAGAAAAAAAAAAATCTGTCAAGTAATTGCCAGTTTTAAAAGAAAAATAAATTATTTTCAGAGAAGTAAAAACTATAGAGTTTCAACTGAAGGGGAGATTTTAATTGCAGAGAGACAGATCTGCTGAATGGTTTAGTTTGGACTTGTGGGATCAGGAGCAGCCAGTGGGATATATATTAGAGAAAAACCAAGTTTAATTAGCCTTAAGATTTTATACAGCTTGGTGCTTCCCTCCCACACCTGATCTGATTCCTTCAGGTCAATCTCCCTTTCAATCACACACTCTCCCATCCTTTTCTCAGTTGCTGTCATGACAAGCCAATAGGAGAATGACATACAGATGAAAACAAGGTTTGAATAATTACTGCACTGCGGCTGGTTGTTGTTTGAGCATCATTTTATTTCTTCCAATCATACAGGTCCTTGGACTTCACAGCCTCATGTTTCAGATGGAGGTGATGCTGATTATATTATGACATTACAGCAAAGACAGGCAGATCAGACAAAGTGAATTTCACTCAGTAATTAAACTGCAGTATCTTTCATCTAAAGTCCAGAGCAGGATTAATCGAAAGGTAGCTGTTTATCATCTCGATTAGTGCTGGGATTTGAAGAGTGAGCTCTGATTTGATAGCTAGCCCTGAGTTGGGCTGACTAGTGGCCCCCTATCTGTCTAACTTGCAAAAATAATATCAGATCAAGATACATTTGCAAGGGTATGCCCTTCCTTTTTATTTTATTTTTATCTGAAGGAAATGCAGATAGATTAAAATATGCTGCTATTTCCATTACTCTGTTTTCTATTATAAAAATGTCTATTAAAAAGAACAGGTCCTTCCAAACCCCACAGCATTTTACAGATGGTTTCCTATAATTCCACTTAGTACCATGCTCTAATGGCTTCTTATTTCTTGCCTTTTCATTATCTGAGAGTCAAATCTGAATATTTAGATAGCCCAACCAACAGCTTCTCAAGCTGCTCACAAGTCCTACTTTTATTTCAAAGGACTCACTGTAGGATTTATGGAGGGATTTTGTTTCCTTCAATTGCTCTTTTAATGTATAAGATATTCTCAAATTCTTTATTGAGTAATGAATTAGAGAATCAGTGATTCTCAATCCTGGATGCCTATAGAAACACTTGTGAGGCTTTGTAAACAATTAGCATCTAGCCCCCACTCCAGACCCAATAATTCAGTGTCTGTAGGAGTTAGACTATGCATCTGTATATTTTTAAAAGTCCATAGGTGATTTGAATGTGCTGCCAAGGTTAAGAACCAGTGAGTCAGCTCTACAGTGTACCAGCTGTATTTGCAAAAGATT